CACCAGCCCGGGGGGCCTGAAGCCTCCGAGAAACCCGGGGCTCCTGTGAGTAAGGTCAAGGCTGGGAGACCCGCAGGCCTTCCGGAAACCCAGGAGCTCCCCTGCCTCTTTCTCTCTCTCTCTCTCTCTTTTTTTCTCTCTCTCTCTATCTCTTTCTTTTTCTCCGTCTCTTTCTTTTAATCCATCTCCCTTTCTCTATCTCTCTCTTTCTCTCCATCTCTCTCTCTCTATATATATGTCTATCTGTCTCTCTGTCTATTATTGAAAGGCCGCTGTTTCCTTCTGCCTGTTGGAAATCTGACCCGCTTTAAAAGGAAAAGCTGCTTATCCCTAACAAAAGCATGCCCCCTTTCAAGGTGGTCAGCAGCCCTGTGTGGCACGTCAAGCATCCTTCTTTATCCCTCCTAAGCAAAAGCTGTTGGCATGTTTTCCTACAGACCTAGATGAGCGGGTCTCAACCTCCTTAGACCCAGCCCTGCTTAGACTGAAAGCAGCCCTCAGGAAAAGCCAGCTTTTCGTTTTTTGCTCGTTTGATTACCCACACACACCCACACAATCACACCGCGTTTTTCCTATTGCATGCACGCGCACACAATAATACAGCATTTTTCCTACTCCACGCACACACACACACACACACGTGCGTATGCACACACAATAATACAGCATTTTTCCTATATTGCATGCATGCACACACACAAATTATACATTTTTCCTGTTGCACGCACGCATGTGCACACATGCACAATAATACGTTTTTCCTATTGCATGCATGCACACCTGCACGCGCACACAAAATACTACAGCATTTTTCCTCTTGCAGAGAACTCAGAAAGACTACCACAAGGCTCGGTGTTTTTAATAGGATGGATTCCTATTTGAAGTAGCTGGGTTTGTCTGGTGAATCGTGTTTGCATACCTAATAGGGCTAATATTGCATGGCACCTTGCAGTACCCTTGAGACGATCTCAAGACACCCTGATTTGAAATCACTAACCTAGATAGTGGGTTTTGTTTTACACTCTGGGTTTCTTGCTTTTAGCATTTTTCAATGCCATTGTTCACCCCTTGAGGGAGTGTTTTTGGCCTACTTTTCAGCATTCTCTCTTTTGGTCCCACAGCCTCCTACACATGCTAAAGATAAAGGCAACTCTCCTGTTTCAGTGCTGGGCACCTGTCACTTCCCAGGGGCTGTGTTAAGTCCACAGTGCTGCTAGTCCAGGGAGCTAAGGAGCAGATCTCAGTTGGTAGTTCAACACAACTCCACTACAGCATCGATTCAGTCCCTGGGAACGAGGGCTGCACAGAACAGCAAACTCTGGTTGGTTTAAAGCAGATAAATGAATGTATGCTTCACCCTCCATGAGCACAGAGTGCTTCTCTCTGCTATAAATGTCATCTTTCTGTCGAACAAGTGGTCTCCTGAAATGTACCAAACCTTTCTGTCTAAAA